CCCCCCCCCCCAGCCTGTCCCCATGGCAGAGGGGCTCCAGCCCTCGGAGCATCTCCGGGGCCTCCTCTGGACTTGCTCCAACAGCTCCATGTCCTCCCGCTGTTGGGGCCTCAGAGCTGGAGCAGAACTGCAGGGGGGGTCTCCCCAGAGCAGAGCAGAGGGGGAGAATCCCCTCCCTCATCCTGCTGGCCACGCTGCTCTGGATATAACCTAGGAAACTCCACACCAGGGAGCTCATGTGCTTGACAACAAGCTTGGCATTCTCAAAAGCCTCCTGGGGCCGGCTCTCTGGAGCCTGATGTGCTTTTGGGTGTTTTTAAGTCTTTTCCCAACTTGTTGTTCTTTTTGAGTGACTTCATTCACTCTGTTAGACCATGGGACCCAGTTCTGCTCCGATGACGGCCGTGCAGAGCAGAGTGGTGAGAAATGTTGTGTGGGAAAACCTGCCATTTACTGTCTTCCCAGAGAATCCCCTCTCTGAACGCTGCTCCTTTTGTGTTCTGCAGATACATGGCCCCTGAAGTCTTGGATGAAACCATTAACATGAAGCATTTTGATTCCTTTAAATGTGCCGATATCTATGCCTTGGGCTTGGTCTACTGGGAGATTGCTCGAAGGTGCAACGCAGGAGGTAATACTGTTCGTGTGCCCGTGCCGTCGCCTCGCCCTGGTTTTCCCAGCCTCGGTGGTTTGAGGTTCTCCGGCCCTGCCTTTGGGTCGGTCGCAGCACGCCAACTCTATTCCAGTTTGGGCAGGGAGGTGTCGGTTGCAGCATGCTGACTCTCTTCCAGTTTGGGCAGCTGCATTTTATTTCCCTCATTTTTTTTTTTCTTATAAACTCAAATCCCAGATTCTTGGTTTCTGTTCTAAATAACTGCAAAGCCTGGACGCGTCTCGGCAGTGAGTCATGTAGCCCAAACCGGTGTCGGCCTGCCTTCAGGGAGCGCTGTGGGGATGATCCGTTCTCCCAGGAATTGCATTTCCCTTTCTCTGCCTTTCCAGGTATCCATGAAGAGTATCAGCTTCCGTACTACGACCTTGTACCCTCTGATCCTTCTATTGAGGAGATGCGGAAGGTTGTGTGCGATCAGAAATTACGGCCTAATATCCCCAACTGGTGGCAGAGCTACGAGGTAAGGTCTGCTTTCACCTTCGCCTCCCCTCTCCCCTCGCTGAGTAAAGAGTTTTTGCCGTAAGTTTTAGGGGGCGTGGAGGCCTGTAGCAGCATCCAGCTGGGCAGCAGGAGCCCGGCAGAGCCGGATTCGGGGTCAGGAGCGCGCTGACGTCTGCCGTTGTTTCTTGCCTAGGCGCTACGGGTGATGGGTAAGATGATGCGAGAGTGCTGGTACGCCAACGGAGCGGCTCGCCTCACCGCCCTCCGCATTAAGAAAACCCTCTCACAGCTCAGTGTCCAGGAAGATGTGAAAATCTAGGCTCTGAGGAGGAAAACTGCACAAAAGCTGCCATGCTAGAGTAGATGTGATGGAGGCCTACCTCGTGTTTCTGCCCAATCTACTGCTACCAACCAGACCTACGGGCTGCTAGGTGGGGCGACGGAGCCTGTTGAATCGCTCTCTTCCCTGCTTGGGTCGGAAACAATCGGAATCCTTTTTTTACGATCACCTCCTGACAGCGTGAAGACTTGTGAGAGGGATCTCAGCCACGAGCGTTGACTCCTGTTCCTTTCATGGAAACCCCTGTAAAGTTCCCCGTGCGCGGCGGTGCCCGGCAGCGGCGTTTGAGGCCGAGGTGCTGGGAGTGGGACGGGAAAAGGGGAGGTTTTCTCGCCGTACTCTGAGGATTACGGGGTTGGGTTTTTTTTCGGTCCGGCAACTGGCACGTTACTGCAGAAAAAGCATTTGCAAAACAAATGGTGCTCCCTTCGGAGAGGCTGAGCCTGAGCAGTTTTATCAGCTTCACGAAACCCGTTTCCCTCCTCCTTTGTTGTTCGGGTGGTTGGGTTTTTGTTTTTGTTTTTTTTTTTCTTAAGCTTGAAAAACTCCAAGCCCCCCCAACCCAAAAGCGGGCTGGGATGGGTGCGTGCAGCGGTGTATGCATGCGCGAGGCGCGCGCGGTCCCCCCCGGCCCCTTCGTCTCTGCCCGTAGCGGCACCCCGTCTCCGTCGGTGCTTTCTGTGCATGTGCAAACCTCCCGCGTCCCCTCGTCCCTTTGAGCTGCACGCGCTGCTGTGCTCTCCTTGTCGAGTGGTGAGCGTCGTCTAGCTTGGACAGGCTCCTGAAAAACCAGATCCTCAGCGCTCCGGGGGGCACCGCGGCCTGGCTGTCCATATCCCGGCCGTGGGCGCTTCCCTGT